TACAGGAGACTTTTTTTTTTGTTTGTTTGGTTTGTTTTTATTTTAATGGAAGTAAACTGAAGCACAGTTTGTTGTGGGTTTTTGTTTGCTTTTTATTTTAGTGGAATAYTCTTAGCTTGCTCACCCTCAGACCTCACACTGATGACTTCAGGGTTTATCCTTGAATTAGRTGACTTTAAACATTCAGCAAAGCTGGTCCATTTCTTAGGGATGGAACTTTGAGAGGAAATAGAGCTGGTGGGAAAGAGATGATGTGAAGATTTTTTTCTCTCCCAATAATTACTTAGAACAATTAAACATGGTTCCTAAATGTAGATTAGGATCCATAAGCACTAAAAAATTGATAAAAGCAAAAAAAAAAAGAACTTTAAAAAATCCTCAAGGGTGTTTGCATCCCTCCCAGAGGAGAAGTGTACTCTTATTGTATCTGGGAAATACTAATCAAATCCCAGCTTAGGTCCTGTATCAGCAAAGAATACATAACAGGACACCTGTCACCCCCATGTCACCCCACCTCAGTTCTGCAATGGGCCACGTGTAGGTTTTGGATCTGTGTCTGTTATAAGGTTTTTCATACTGGACTTGAGCATAACATGTCTTGGGCTAAAATTTAAGTAGTAGGCATAGAAATTACCCTTTTGACTTTAGTACAGTAAATCCAAGAATAGGAAACCATGCCCTGATTTTTCTCCCTCTCCTCTGCTCCAGAATCAGCAGAAATATAGTCACTGTCTGGAAAAGAAGAGATCTTGTGTACAGCTATGAGGATTTGCACTAAAGCACCTACTTGTTTTCAATCAGTAAATTAATAAACCTTTACAATAATTTATCTAAAAGAGCAATGTTTTAGAAATGTTTCTGACATAACCCCCTAAATTACTGTCTTTTTCAATTTGGTAAGAAAAAAATATGTTTTGTAATTTTTCATTGTTTAATTTTACCTATGAATCAAATTTGTCATTAGCATAAGAAGTGTGTATGGCTTCGTTGTCTTCAATACAGTCACATCTCTTTAGGTTATCAGCTAATTTAGGAGCCTGAAGTTAGAAATCAAAAGCTAGGTGGGCACCTGACTGAAGCAATCTTGCTCTCAAATGCTGAACTTSTGCCACTCTCATTTATAGCAGGAAAGGGATTAGCACCTAACTGATAACAGATAATTCTTCTATTTAGGAATATRAATAACTTCAAAGTTGTGCCCCTTATTACAACAGCTACAAAACAGATAAAATTCTTTTCAAAATAGATAAAACTATTTCTTCTAGGCTGTTTAGATAACCTGTACACTTTCCTCTTCAGACTATGAATATCAGATTCAGAGATGAAGCCACTACAGTTCTTTGTAAAAAGAATCAAATATTGCAACCTCAAACTAATTCATAATCCACACCTCCTGAAAGGTTATGTTGATTTTGTTTTAAATAAGAAAGCATCTAAATGACCATGCTCGCATAAAAATTTTGGATTAAAGTTAATCAGAATTTGTCCCAAAGAAAATTTACAAGTCACTGATTTCATTCCGTGCAACTTAGTATAAAATATAAGTTGTGCTATGTCTTAATAATGTATCAAAATACACCCTATGAATCACTAGAAATACTGCTACATTTATACCTAATGCCAAGTATGACCAGAAGTAGATTTAGGGCCTTTTAGAATTCCAGGTATAAACAGGAGGAAGCCACTGCAAGATCAAAATTTTCTAATCTTTCCAGAATACAGCAAATTAATTATTTGCAAATCTTGGTTTTTTGTTTTGTCTCCCATTTTACAATGCAAATTCAAAAGTAAACCTCCTTGCCAAGAAAATMAATATTTAACATTTATACAGTGCTTCATCAAGTGAAATAAAGCATGTGTAAGCATGTCAGTCCTACAATCTGTGCTCTTTTAGGATAGTAAAAGATCCCAAGATTGTACCACTGATGTGATTCAATGGAATGACCTGATCCAATGCCAAAGACTAGCTACTCTTTTCCCTCTGCTATTTTYCCAAGCTACATATCTACTGACTTCTCTGGGACAAGGTGTGCTCCACACTCAGCACAGTGGAACCTCACTTACAGTAAGGAAATGAAATCACAAATGTTGACATTTGTGGAGCCACTTTGGTCTTACACCAGCACAGCTAAACTCAGAGCTGTCCTCCGTCTACAGAGAGCTCTGCCTCTGGTGCTGCAAGGAGTCCACAAACACCACATCCAGCTGCGTGTTTCCTRACATTTGTAGGTGCAGCCATGTTGAGCAAACAGAAAAGTTCCTGTAGGAACTCTTCTGTCTAAAGTGCATCCCACAAGGACAGGTACACTTCTACAAAACCTCAAAACAGAAAATAAGCAYTCACAAAGTCTTGAGGGGAGGGGAAAGAAACTTTCTACAAGGGACCTGGTGCTCTGCAAGAGCTTTTGCAAATATAAAAATCGAGGGGAACATGAAATCCTCAGTGGTGGCAGCTCTGGGTTAACTGTGACAAACAAGCAGAGGCAAACCCCAGCTTTAC